AAGATTGGCTTCTTTCACTTAGTAATATGCACTTAAGATTCATCCATATCTTTTCATGGTTTGATAGCTCTTCCTTTTTAGTTTTTTTAGCACCAACTAATATCCCATTTCATAGTTCATTTATCTGGTCACCTACTGAATGCCATCTTGGTTACTTCCAAGTTTTGGCAATTATGAATAAAGCTACTATAAACATCTGCGTGCAGGTTTTTGTGTGATGCTCTCATGTGCTATCTCTAGACGAGTCAGTTATGAATATTCTGCTTTTTGCCTTACTGCAAAGTGATACCCAAGAGCAGTATAACTGAGATTCCGTCTCTCAAAAATTCCACCCATCTTGGAACTTTTCCTTTTCACCAGTCTGTTCTCCTCCCATCAAGAAATGTCCTACTTTCAAGATCTGTCCCACTTTTTAAAACTTTGCTACATTGGCCATCCAGTTAAATCAAGCACTATTGATTTGTAAATAGTCATTTTACGAGAATAACAGGGCCTATTGGCCTGCTACAAAAAGCCAAATCCAATGTGACAAATTTTGTCACATAATTTAATGGAATGTTGTTTTCAGAGAAAGAGTATTTAGGGTTTCCTTGATCTGTCTGGGAAGTGAGTGGAATTGGGTGAACCCCCAACCCACCATATCTTCCCCCCACTCCCCAGTACTCACCTATGAAATCTTGTATGTCTTTCACATCTCATATTTAATTAATTCATCTAACACTTCATTGAAGGCAGATTGGCAGGACAATGTTGAGAAGAGTATAAATAACTTGAGAGTTATTGTGCAAAATAGGTTAGGCCCTTTGAGAGTGTTGTGAATGATTTTTTTGCATTGGGTTTTCTACAGAATTCAAGGTCTTTATGAACTATCCCAGCTTTATGAAATAAGAAATTTCTTGTGACATACATGAAAACTGTTACAAAGATACACAGTTGGCTAGTTGAATTTCTATTCCATCTCAAATCTTTACAAGTGATTTGGATTGATAATTCATTAAACCTCTCTGAACATCGGTGTTTTTCTGAGTGTGTTTCTGATCTTTCCTTTGTCTCTTCAGGTTGTGTTTTTGTTTGCTTTTTTTGTTTTCTTTTTTAACATACCTTGTAATGTTTTAAAGCTGGAAATGGTGTATTGGGTAAAAGGAATTGAGGTAAACAAGCTTTTATTGTGTTTGAGGTTTTGTGTTTATCTAGTTAAGAGTTAGACCATGGTTACTGTTTGCTGTAGATGTCAGAGGCTAAAATTTCCTATTTTTCTTGACTTAGTCTCCCTTGTCTTTGGGCTTTCCTAGAGACTTAAATAGTTTAAGTCATTCTTTTATCTGTAATCCTCTGCTCTGTTAATATGGTGGTAAAATGTGGAGGAAGGAAGAATTCTACAACTCTGTGATTAGGTCTCAGTCTGTCAGTAAGCCTACACCCCTGGGTTGTGAACTTCACAAGTGCTTCTTGGTTTTCCTGACCCGCTCCCCTTAGGTGAGATGGGCAGGCTAGAGGAGGCCGGAGTTGGGTATTTCCCTTTCCTCATATTGGTTAAGCTCTGGAAACCCATGATGGTGAGACTCTGGTAAAATAGTCTTCTTTACTGGAAGGCCTTTGCTAAGGAGAACAGAACACTGGGAGTTTTCAAAGTGGCTATTTCTCTCCTCTCTCTGCTGGGGACAGGGGCTTTTTTTCTTCAATCTTCACTCTGACAACTGAGATTCCATCTCTCAAAAATTCTACCCATCCTGGAACTTTTCCTTTTTACTAGTCTGTTCTCCTCACATCAAGAAATGTCCAACTTTCAAGATCTGCCCCACTTTTAAAATCTTTACTACGTTAGCCATCCAGTTAAATCAAGCACTATTGATTTATAAAGTCATTTTACAAGAATAACGGGCGATTGGCCTGCTACTAAGAGGCAAATCTAATGTGACAAATTTTGTCACATAATTTAATGGAATGTTGTTTTCAGAGAAAGAGTATTTAGGGTTTCCTTGATCTGTCTGGGTATTTCGAAGATAAAGATGCACAAGACTGTGAGGGATGCAATAAAACTGGGATCCCAGGACTGTTTACCCCTCAAATTAGTCTACATTCAGTCTCCATCAATCAGTGAATTATCCTTGAAGTGCTCCCACCAGCTGCTGGGTGCAGCAGCAGCTTCTCCTGGGAGGCTACGATTTTCAGCATTCACCTGTCTCTCTGGGTTTCAGNTGGTGCAGCAGCAACTTCTGCTCCTGGGAGGCTATGATTTTCAGCATTCACCTGTCTCTCTGGGTTTCAGGGTTGTGGCTTGTCTGTGAGCTCAATTCTTAGATACTTCTAAGAGTAGTTATCAATTTTCAGTTTATTCAGCATTTTTGTTGTTGTTGTGAGGATAGGAAGATGACTTCCAGGCTCCTTATATGTTGGACTGGAAAACAACTTCAGTGTTTTTAATCACAAAATAAAAGGTTCCTTTTAGGTCAACCTGGAGGTTGATTCAGAGCTTCAGCCAACACTCAGGGATGCGAGCAGTCTTGTCAGGGGGCCCCCAGCTATTAGCTGGTTAATTATTGATGTCTGTTTCTCTGGCTCTGGCTGCTGTAATTTAACTGAGGACACTTAGAATGTTTCTCTTGTCACTTTGTTCTCTGCAGGGCATTTTTTCAGAAGCAGGAGCACTGGCTGCCCTAGGCCTCACTCAGGGCGCCCAGAGCGTTCTCTCCTTCTCTCCGCGAAGAGGTGCGAGGTGCGTGCAGAGGCGCTGGGAGCGTCGCCTCAGTTCCCTGAGGGTGTCCTCTTGGTGGCTGGGTACCATGCCATGGGTACTGTGGACTTGCAGCGTGTAAGGCAGGGAGCCCTACCTTCCGCTCAGGTAACTCTCACTCCCTCATTTGCCATGGGCCCACCCACAGCATGACCTCTTTAACACAGGGATTTGGAATATTTACGCAGGGTCCCTGGAAGCACAGGACACCCCCTTCCAGTGGGACCTGGCTTGTCCACAGTTAAATGCCCCCGATGGGGCTGGTGCCCTTTGAAATGAAGTGAGGTGAGGGAGCGAGGAGGTGAGACAGGGAGGTGGAAATTCAGGCCCATTGTGGGGGGGGGGCCTAGAAGCTGAGGGTTCTGAGGACAGAGGTGACAGCATCCCTCAGATGGCTCTCCTCGTTCCCTCCCATTGGATTCCCCTGCCTCTGAATCCTCCCTCCGCTCTCTCCAGAGCGTGTCTGTCCTCCAAGGCCTCAGAGGGAGTCGGGGGGGGTATTTCCTGTGTCCTTCCTTGTGTCTGAGGACCAGCAGTGAGAAAGGGCATCCCCTGGAAGGTGTGCACTCTCAGGCCCTCCTAATCTCTGCTGGATTTGAGTCCGCATTTTAACACTGTCCCAGGTAACGAATTCGCACATTAGGTGGAAGAAGCCCTCCACAGGGCTTAGGAAGTGCCACCTCATAACATGGCACTTTGGCATATTGGCCATTTCAAGGTGAAGTGTTTGTAAAGCAGCAGGTATAAGTACTTGCTCACCTTTATCTGAAGCAGATCATAAACCCTCTTCTGAGAGGCGCCCTCTCTGTTCCTGGGCGAAAGGAGCACCCTTATTTCCAAGACACAGCCCTGAAAGGAACCCAAACACACAGGCCTTGCTAATTTCCCCCATTTATTACATTCAGCTCACACCCCCTTTGTCCCATTATATTTTCCCACTATCCACTCTTCATCAAATCTGGCATAAAAACCATTTCTTGGGGTCTTCATTTCCTCCATAAGCCTCCTGTGTCACATAAAACTTCTTTTAAATCAATTTGTATGCTTTTTTCCTGTTAATCTTCCTCAGTTTGATTTTCAGACCCAGCAGGCAACCTCAAAGGGTCCAGGAAAACTTTTTCCCTCCTCTACATTCTGGTCTGTGTTATGCAAGGAATGGAAGCAAATCATGTCTTTAGTTCCAAAGGGTCTCAGATACTAATGTTTAAATGCTTAAGGATTTTGCTCTTTGAAAATTCATGTAGCGATAGAAACAGCAGAAACTGGGAGTCAGACAGAACCTGCAGTAAATCTCTGGTTCGGTTCTAACTGAGCAAATGATTAAACCTCGAAGCCTCGTGAATGACGTGTAAAAAAGGATAGTGAAAATCACATTGGCTGGCCAGTGTGGCTCAGCAGTTGAGCACTGACCTAGGATCCAGGAGATCGCAGTTTGATTCCTGGTCAGGGCACATGCCCGGGTTGCAGGCTCGATCCCAAGTTGGGGCCAGGCAGCCGATCAATGACTCTCTCATCATTGATGTTTCTCTCTCTCTCTCCCTCTCCCTCCCTCTCTCTTCCTCTCTCTGAAATCATTAAATACTTTTTTTTTTAAATCATGTTGACCTCCGACAAATGCAGAAAAGATTAGACAAATTAAGAGCATCTGCCTCATAGCAGAAACTTAATAATTATTAGGTCCTCACTAATAAAGTAAACATGTACCTGAGAAATATAATGTTCTAAGATTTAAGTGACCCACCTATTGTGTGATAGATTACCTTCTTGGCTTATCCAGAATCTTACTCTAGACTTCAGGGAAAATGCCAACGTTTGGGGACAAACGGTAGAAAAGAAACATGATTCTATGAAAGATGCTGGATGCGAATTTGGGGAAAAGAGAACATCCAACTTGCTGAACTCCCACATCTGATGGCTGTCAGCCAAGAAAAGTAATCAAATTTTGACCATTTTGACTAAAATACCCAGAAAGTTGCTAAACAATTGACAAAAAAACAACAAAAGCAAAACTTAGAAGCTGTGGAAACTCATCTTTATAAGTACTCTCATGTTGCTCTTTGGACCTGGCCTCATAGCTCAGCTAGAGGGGTTTTTTTGAGTGATATGTGTGGTGCGGTTACCCATTAAAACATAATGCTGGAATGGGAGCAGCTTGGGAAGCCCGGGAAAAGACGTACACATTGGGAAGTACGGCGACGACCAGGTCTGGCTGAACAGTCCCAAATGCCGTCGCCGGCTCCTGGAGACGCCGCCTCCCCTGTTCACCCTACGCCTTTCCCGCCGCCCTGTCACCTAGCAGCAGCCTCCTCAGTGCCCCCTTCACCTCTCTGTTTCGGAGGGTGTAGATCAGGGGGTTCAGGAGTGGGGTGACAATGTTGTAAAGGAGGGTGAGGAACTTGCCCCGGTTCTGGGAAGAGGTGTTCCCCGGCTGCATGTACGCGTAGATGATGTTCCCATAGAACAGGGAGACCACCGTGAGATGGGAGCCGCAGGTGCCGAAGGCCTTTTGCCTCCCTGCTGCTGACCGGACCTGTAGCACAGCCCGCACGATGCAGCCGTAGGAGACCAGGATAAAGAGCAGGGGCCACAGCACGATGGCCACCGCCAGGACGAAGACAACACCCTCCATGACCGCTGTGCTGACACAGGCCATCCGGATCAGGGCAGGCATCTCACACAAGAAGTGGTCCACTCTGTGGTGCCCGCAGCGCGGTAAGCGTAGGGTGACTGGGGACATGGCCAGGGAGTTGGCCACCCCACAGCCCCAGGCCACCGACACTAAGCCTGCGCAGAGGCGAGGGCTCATGATTGCCGGGTAGTGCAGGGGATTGCAGACGGCGACGAACCGGTCATACGCCATGACGGCCAGGAGCAGACACTCGACACCGCCCAGCGCCAGGAACAGGAACAGCTGGGTGGCACAGCCCGCGTAGCTGATGGTCTTGTCGCGCCCGCCCAGGTTGTAGAGCAGCTGGGGGATGGAGCTGCTGGTGAAGCCGAGGTCCAGGAGGGACAGGTGGGTGAGGAAGAAGTACATGGGGGTGTGGAGGTGGGGGTCCAGCCGGGACACCAGGATGATGGTGGCGTTGCCCACAATGGTCAGGAGATACGCGATCAAGATGACCACAAAGAGGATCCTCTCCAAATGGGGGCGGTCAGAAAAGCCCAAGAGGATGAAGCTTCCCCGGGCGCTGTCATTGGTCCCGTCCATGCTGTGGCACCTGAAGAGGAATCGCGATACTGATAATGGTGACAGACAATACGGGCGGCATCCCCGGTGCTTCTGACAGTTAGTTACTCACTTAAGCCCAGCAACGGTGACATGGGGTTGACAGTCTTCTTATCCTGCATTTACAGAAAAGGAAACTGAGTCGGATGTGTATTAAGCAAAATGATCATGTTCTAGAAAAGGCAGAGCTGATTTTGAACCGAGGAAACGGGGCTCAGGGTCGTCTTCCACTGCTGGCTCTGCTTCCAGTTCTAGTGACAGAAGCTAAGTCCCGCCATGGCCCAGCCATTGGTTTTTCTTGAAACATAATTTCCTGAGCTCTTGCTAAAACCTCAAAGGCCCAAAATGGAACCCCAGAATAATCAATTACTAGTATTTAGGAAATAGCCATTATATGCAGAATATTTTATTTGTTCTTTAATTCAAAGACACATCTCATTCATTTGACCATAATCTTGAGGTAATTTTAAAGTGCCCAAATAAATAAATAATATATGATATAATTGAATATTACTAAAGTAACATACACATCAAATTAATATCCTTCTTTCTCTCTCTCTTTCTTTCTATTGGGTCTGGTTTTTTAAGAAATCGAGTATGTATTTTTTCTTCCAAAGTACTATATGCTGCTTGAGGAAAATAAAATCACAACAGGTAATACAACTTTAATGCAATAATTTACATACATGTGCAGAAACCTCTATCAAAGAATTTACCACAACAAACAAAGCATGTGTGAAGACCTAGAGCACAAGTCTTACAGACAGAATAGAGGAGTCGATTTAACATGTCTTGGGCTACAGCCCCAATTCCCCCGTTACAATCCCTTAGCCGACAAGATACAATTAGGAGCTCTCAGAAAGCCCTGTATCTTTTTACAGTTTTCTCATCTAAAAATGGTAATCATCAAACTACCTTATTTATTTTATAGATATGTTTTTATAATTTTTAATTTAAGAGTTGGTAAATTTGAAAGTATGTTGCATAAAGCTATGTGTCATATACATAGGGAACATGAAACTAAGTCCATGCGACTAGGCAGAGAAATCCTATATTTAACATAAATGCAAACATACTTTGAAAATATAATAAACCATGATAAATGGGGGGTATTTGGAGTTGGGGAGTGTGAATCATTCATTCACTGCTTTCACCAAAACAAATAAATCAAGTGTTTAAACATTAAATATAACTTATAAGAAAGCACAAAAGTTGGTCCCTTTTTTTCCATTGATCATCTTAAATTTTGATTGCACTAGGCAGATTGCAATTCTCAAAAGCAATAAAGCGAAAAACAAATAAATATGCATAATTTAATAAATCTGTGCTATAAGAAACACCACTAAAAACATAAAGGATAATGAAAATACTAGAGAAATTCAACATGACAATTGAAAGACTACCTTTTAAACAATATTTTCAAGAAATTGGCAAGAAAATATGAAAGAAAATAATGATCTGAAGTAGTTCACAGGGAAACTAATATAAAAACATTACTTAAAAATATTAGAATTCTTCTCACTGGTGATTATGGATATATAATTAAAATATAAATGCAAAGATATTTGCTTTTTAGATAGGTAAATATTATTAAGTGTAGTAAGTGCAGGGAAATACCCCAATTCTCTTGAACTCTTGATAGGAATTTAAATCAGAATAGAATGTGGAGGGGTCTTAGAAAAAGATTATTAATTGAAATGGGTAGTACTCAGGACAATGCATATATTTAAAGTTATAGAAATAATTTAATAAATAATGTCAACTTTCTAAACTGGAAACAAACAACTACTAGATAGAAATAAGTGTGTGTCTGTGATTTCGTTGCCGCAGTTAGCTCGCATCACTGGGAAGCGAGCCAGGGGAGCGCGACCTTGTTGGGCGCGGTCAGCGGGGGAGCAGGAGCCGGCTCCTTTCACCCGGGAGTCGGGAGTCGCAGCTTTACACCGCCCCCCGGGGGACCACGGTCCGTTTCTCGCTGATCACTGAGGAAAGGGGTAGAACAAAAGGGGGGTCAGCACGTGCCAATAAAGCCACGGGGGTGCAGGGGGTGCTTGACCACAGAGGCCTATCAGTCTAACCTGGGAAAGGTATCACTGGTCAGGGGGTGCACCTGTCAGAAGCCCCCAAAAGCTTGGGATGTTGATTGATTATTTTTAAAATGCTCCTGGTTAAAACTCCATGGGAACAAAGAATCTCTCCCTCCCTCTCAATCTCTCTCTCTCTCTCTCTCTCCCTCTCCCCCACACACGCACACACACACTCGTGTTCTTTCCTTCCCGTGCTCTCTTCCCCGGGAGCACACGGCCACGCAGGCCTAGCAGCAGCTGGGGCCTGCAAACAGAAACCCTGGACCCCGGCCTTTGCTTGGCCTCGCTGAAGAGACGGTTGCACTTTTTTCAGGGTGGACAGAGATGGGACATTGGGAACCCAGGAAGGGAACTCCTTTGCTTTTGTATCACAAATAAATCCTCTTGCCACACCACAATCTCCACGTGGGCCGGTGAAATGCTTTTCCCGCAGTCCCATGAGGAGCCGGGTTTTAACCAACAGCACTGCCCCGGGAAGCACTTGCTGCTCCTGAGTGAGAGCGGGGCAGGCTGGAGGGCAGTGTCAGCATGGGCCCGAGGGCCTTGAGCTCTCCCGCCCACTTGGGGCAACTCGTAGGAGGGTAAGGAAATGAGTCCGGTGGCTGAGGACTCACAGTTCTTCCTGACTTTGGGTGGAACTGCAGAGAGCAGAGCGGCTCGCCTGCACGAAGGGGACTATCGCTTTGTAAAACGTTTATTTCACTAGTGTACTTGGGACTATGTGCTCACAGTGCACCAAAGGTAAGGCGTATTTCTCCTTGTAGTGCTGGCCAAGCAGTGTGAACACTATTGCCCCCAAATGCACTGTTCCACCTCAGAAATGCCCACACTCAAACCATAAGTTCAAAGAAATAGACTTTTTTTAGTTCCTGGAGAGCAGATGATCAGACGATTAAAGATTTTCGTTTATTTCCAAAGATTTTTTTAATATTGAAGACTAAAGAGTTTAAACTCCCAAAATATGATGGCAGGAAACGGGACCCATGTTTTTCAGAGCAGGGAAAGGGCTGCATCTTTCTAGCTAAGAGTGACATTCTCCATCACACCCATAGCTAATAATACCCCTGTCAATGCTTTTTATTTTTTTAAATGAAACTTACACCTCAGACTTCATTTCCTCACATTCACTTGACAAACCTCAGTCTTTCTTAACAAACTCCCAACGTAAAAAAAATAACTTTTATTTTGTGTGTGTTTTTATACTTTGTATCTTCAGCACTTTTATATTTCATCTTTTAAAAATCATTCTGCACTGGTAAATCTGATCTGTTATAATTAAATAACATGAGTTGTGATATATGTATTTGTGTATAGATTTGCGTCTTGATGTATCTGTTATAATCCATACATTTTCCAATAGCAAAGGGTGTGTTCCTCACCTTCTATCCCTTTGAGGCACTCTTTATGGCTTTTTTATTGTTGACAGTATTACAGATGCCCCCAATTTTCTTCCCCTTTGCCCCCCTCCTCCCAGCCCCTGCCCCACCCTAGGCCTTCACCACACGATTGTCTGTGTCCATATGTATATAAATTCTTTGGTAAATCTCTTCCTGCGCCCCACCCCCCCTTGAGATCAGTTCCGTGTATCCACACCTCTGGACCTATTCTGTTCATCAGTTTATTATGCTCATTAGATTCCACATATAAGTGAGATCATGTGATGTTTGTCTTTCTCTGACTGGCTTATTTCACTTAGCATAATATTCTCCAGGTCCATCCATACTGTCTCAAAGGGTAAGAAATCCTTTTTTTTACAGCTGATAGTATATTTATATGGCTTTTTAATTTAACAAACCAATAGAGAAGTGCAAACTTATAAATTGAGCTCCTAAATCCACAAATCTACTCACAATTTTTACTTGTGTGCTACCAGGTACCATTAAAAGTCAGAAGTCGGAAGGTGAGGATCTAGCTGGAGGACCTCCATGCATGTGATGTCTTCTCCCCTCCTGGGTTCAGGCAGATGCTCTACCAGGTGTAACTGCGCGTGTGGAGAAAATAAAGGCACCCCTCCTGGTTGTAGCCCATGAGTCTATAAATGCAATGGGCCGTGATATTTGTGCAGGTGTATGGCAATGAGCCCCAGTGATGCCACTTTCCTGAAAAATGAATGGAGAGGGACCCTGATGGTGATCTGTGGTCATCCATGGCCCCACACTCCAGGGAAACTTCCAATCCCACAGGCATCGTTAGTACATACACTGAGGTGTGCCATGGGCATGCATCATATCGAACTCCACAGGGTCCAGACAGAAAATGAGGACTATGAGAATTTGTCCCTTGATATATAAAGGATTTATTACTTCATGTAAGCAAAGTTGGGACTCACTCCATTTTTGTTCTATATACTATATATATATATAAACACTGCTGGGCCATTTGTTCCCTTACCTTGTTCCCAATAATTATTATATGTCTAAAAAATAATTGAGGCATAATTGGTCCCATCCTACCTGGAACAGGATCATGTTATTTTTTTTCTCTCCTTAGATCTACTGAAAGTAAAGAAGTGTTTTGACATTTTTTTTACTAAGAATTTTATGTATGAAAAATAACCCATTGTCCTAGATAGTGGAAAATTTTTATAGAAGCATTGATTAATATTATTATTACTAATTTTAAAAACTTATTCATTTGTTTAGTTTCATTTTGGGATTTCAAAGGAAGATGGAAGCATAAGTCAGTTGATACTTTTTTACATCTATTTATTTCTTTTTAAATTAAATTTACTGGGGTGAAATTGGTTAATAAAATAATATAGGTTTCAGGTGTACAATTCTATAATACTTCATCTGTATATTGCATTGTGTGATCACCACCCCAAGTCAAGTCTCCTTCCATCATCATTTGTCCCCGCTGTTACCCTTTCTACCTCCTCCACCCCCCTTCCCCTCTGGTAATCACCCTCCTGTCATCTGTGTCTATGAGGGTTGTTTTGTTTTGTTTTGTTTTGCTTAATCCCTTCAGTTTCAAAAACTGACTAGGGGGGAAGTGGAGCAAATACCATAAGCCCCTGATTTATTAGATTGTGTATATATGACTGTGTTTTAATGCTCTTACAAAGGCAACTATGATATCATAAGGCTGAAATTTTAAATAATAATAAAATAAATAAATGAATAATAATTGAGTCCTTGCAGTCGGCCAGGAAGCATCAGAGCAAAATCCTACTTTTTTGAGTAAACTGACTAAGGACCATGTCAAAACATGGGTAACGTTTTCTAAGTAATAATAATATCACTTTGGTATACTATATTTCGCAAAACACTTTCAGCTCCATCATTTAATTCTGCAACCCCAGCAAGACAATCATTTATTCAGCAAGTATGCAGTGAGTAATACAGTGGACAAACCAGTGTTTGAGGTGCTTGGGTGATGTTGAACATATTGCTGTCAAAAGACAAAGACCCTTCCCCACAGAGTGCTTACATCCTACCAAAAAAAAAGAGGAAAAAGCAACAAAATAAACTAAAAATGAACTAATAAATAAGACAGCAATGTAATATATTAGAAGTTGATAAATAATATATTGGGAAAATAATATATTTCCCCAATATATTATTGGAATATATTTCAGTATATTATTGATGAAGGGCACTGGGATGGTGGGCCCAGGGGGATGAGGGCCGTAGAGTCCTCACTAAGAAGCTGAATTTGAGCAGGCTTTAAGGATTAAAGGAAACAAGTAGGAAAGACATCAGGTATCATGCAAAATAAGAAGAAAGAGAGGAAGAGAGGAGACTAATAGAGAGATACACGGAGGCAAAGAAAGAGAAAAAAGAGAGAGAGGGAATGAGAGGAGAAGAAAATGAGGAGAAGAAACACAATCACAAATCTGACACTAGAATGACACTGGACAGTTCTCAATCAATTTAAGAACTGCCATTTCTACTTCTAGTCAGGATGGCGTGTGGGTAAATGCGGTATTTGAATCCTACAACCTCATCAAAATTACAACTACAGAACAACCATCATTCACTTGAAATCCAGCTAAATGAAAGTCCTACAACTAGGGATTTAAAGAAGCAGCCACATTGAGACTGGTAGAAGGGGCGGAGATGTGGAACAGGCTGGTCCTACACCCATGTATGATGCTAAGTTCAGGAAGGATATGGAAGTCCCTCTGGAGGAACAAGGGGTCCCTGCCCCACCCATGCCTTCTAGCCCAAGGTTCCAGGGTGAGGAAGAGAAGTCCCCATAACTTCTGGCTGTAAAAACCAGCAGAGATTGTGGCAGAGTGGGATGGAGAGCTACTGGAGTCCCAGGCAATTTCTCTTAAAGGGCCCGAGCACAGACTTACTCAGACTCTCTCCCTCTGAGATCCAGTACTGGAGCAGCAGCTCGAAAGGAACCAGGGACATACAGGGAGAAACTGAATTGTCCGGCCTCAGAGTGAGAGCTGGGGGGCAACTTTCTGCCAGACATAAGGGCTGGCAGAGGCCAATGTTCCTTTTCTGAGCCCTCCCCCAACAGAGCCAACAGGCATGTGCCATATTCAAGTCTCCATCAACCTGGCTCACACTGTTCACCCTACCCTGCTGATCCCCTGAGACACCTGCCTACCTCCCCCACCAAAAAAAATGCAGGCCCACCCAAGCCATTTCCAATGGCTTTTCCATACAAATGGCCTCTTTTGCCTCATGCTTTGGACTTGCCAAAATCTCTCAAACAAGCAGCATCTGTCCTCTACATACCCCATACCTCTTCCTAGGTGGCCCCAGGCCCAGCACTAGTGGGAATTGAGCTTAGTGTGCAGCTTGGCCTCTCCTTGGCATCTTCAAGTTCAGTACAATTAGAAATCATCTACAGATCACTCTGTAGCTTGTGCTGGGTGACGACCTCAGGCAGAGCACAGGTGGTGGCTGACCTTGCATCTCCCAGGAGGCCCCAGAGCCAGTGCAGCCAGTGCATAGCTTCAGGTGCTAGATTAAAACCCTACCATCTCCATGAATGACACACTCAAGGGGCAGACTTGGTGGGCACCAAAGCCCCACTGAAGCAAGTTCTTCTCCATAGAGTTGAATCTTGCCCAGCATCTCCTCTGCTGTAGCCACAGACGATGCTCAGAGCCAATTGGCCTGGGGGTCAATCCTTCACAGTGACAGCAATCAAGGTTCAACTATAGCAAAACTGTGCACACAGCCCACACAGAGCACACCTGGAGCACCCAGCTGGGCCCTACAAGACACCTGCTACACTAGGTCACTCTACCAAGTCTAGAAGATGTAGCAGCTCTACCTACTACATAGAAACAAACATAAGGAAGCAAACAAAATGCAAAGACAAAGAAACAGGTCCCAAATGAAAGAACAGGAGAAATCTCCAGAAAAAGAACTAAATGAAATGGAGGCAAGTAAACTACCAGATATAGAGTTCAAAAAAAATGGTTATAAGGATGTTCAAGGAACCTACTGAGAACTTCAACATTATGTAAAAAGGACATAGAAACCATAAAAAAGAACCAGTCAGAAATGAATGCTGCACTAAGTAAAATGAATAATAATGTAGGGGAATAAAAGTAGAGTAGATGAAACCAAAATCAAATCAGCAATTTGGAATATAAAGAAGCAAACAGCACCCAGTCAAAACATCAAAAAGAAAAGAATCCAAAAAATGAATATAGTGTAAGGAGCCTCTGGGACAACTTCAAGCATACCAACATTCACATTCTGGGGTAATGGAAGGAGAAGACAGAGAGCAAGAAATTGAAAACCTATTTGAAAAAAAAAAAATGATGGAAAACATCCCTAACCTGGTGAAGAAAATAGACACACAAGTCCAGGAAGCACAAAGAGTACCAAACAAGATGAACCCAAAGAGACCCACACCAAGACACATCATAATTAAAATGCAAAAGGTTAAAGACGAAGAGAACCTTAAAAGCAGCAAGAGAAAAGCAGTTAGAAAAGGAGCTCCCATAAGACTGTCAGCTGATTTCTCAACAGAAACTTTGCAGGCCAGAAGGAAAGTGGCATGAAATATTCAAAGTGATGAACAGCAAGGACCTACAACCAAGATTACTCTACCCAGCAAAGCTATAATTTAGAATTGAAGGACAGATAAAGAGCTTCCCAGACAAGAAAAAGCTAAAGGAGTTCATCACCACCAAACCAGTATTACATAAAATGTTAAAGGGTCTTCTTTAAGAAGAAGAAGAAAGAAAAAGAAAGATAAAATATGTGAACAATAAAATGGCAATAAATACATATCTATTAGCACTTGAATCTAAAAAACAAAATAAACAAACAAGCAGAACAGAAACAGACTTATAGATACAGAGAAGATTTTGACAGTTGCAGATGGGAGGAAGTCTGGGGGATGCGTGAAAAAGGTGAAGGGAGGGGAAAGTACAAATTCATTGTTACAGAATAGTCATGGGAATGTGAAGTACAGCATAGGGAATACAGTGAATAATATTCTAATAACTATTTATGGTGTCAGATGGGTACAAGATTTAGGATGATCACTTAGTATGCCTGAAACTAATATATTGTGTGTCAATGGTAATTGAAAAATTTTAAAAACTATTTTTAAAAAAAGAACTGCAATTTATAATTGTTAATATGTGGAAGATTTGAAATGAAAGGATATGGAAAGGAATGAGAAAAATATAATGAATATATAGATATATTTGTTTAATACAAAATATATCCTCCATTCCACTCCAGGGAATTGCTACACTTAGAGTGTATCTCCAAACAGAATTTTAGGAATGGTCATCTCTAACATTAGAAGCAGGGTCAGGATGACTGCTGGATGCACTATTTCCTGACTCTGCTTCTGTCATAGGTGGCAAGATAAGAGGAGTTGTGTCACAGATGAAAAAGTAAGGTCGGAGAATACCATTGAACAGTTGGTTGAATGTGTAGATGTAAGACCCATTAGTGATGTCATAAAAGGAGATTTCACCTGCTTCATAGTCCAAGAAAATTCCAATGCAACGAGGCCGTTCTAGGTGGAGGAGAGGCACTGATGGGGAGGCAAGGACCATGTACTCATTTCCTTTCAACAGCCACATGGCCCAGACTCCATTCTCGGGAGATGGTGTAGTTTCCCCCTTTCTTGGCGCTGTGTCTTCAGAGACTCCTAAACCCCACTCTGCTCTTTCTCCCACCACGACTTCCCAGTAATGCCTTCCTGATGAGAAGTTCTGCAAACCCAGGATACAGGGCCACGTGTCAAATCGCTCGGGGTTGTTGGGCACATCCCTCCACAGTTCTCCATCCTGCACACTGCGCAGGTCAGCAGTCAAAAGGAGGCTAGGATGAGCTGTGGCAGGGTCCAGCTTTACATCAACTGTGGAAAAAAATTTGTGAGACATGTAAAAGAATGAAAAAGGCTGGTAAACACTTAGGAATCCATTATACTGAGAAGAATAATCACACCATTCCTCATTCTCTCTCTACTGACTCCTAGAGACAGCACAGTAAGTATTTCACCTTGCAGGTTGCTGAGAATATTCTTCATTACATTTGAATGTAATCCACTGCTGCTGCTCCGCATCCAGGGCTCATTATTGCCCCATTGCAAACATAACCACCAATGCTATGACAAGACAAGTGCATAACCACTTAGCATTCTTTTGTCTACACCCAAAGCACTTGGGTGCTCTTAGGAATATCTTTTGGAATTTAAAATAAATTTTAAAAACTACTTAGAATGTATTTTTTTCTTCTCAAAAACTACAAGAAAATATCATTAATATGAAAATCACCACTTTCAAAGCTATGTTACTGTGATAGGTGGAATTCTGAGATAGAACCCATGACCTTCATACCCTGGTGATACTCAAGAGGGAGATTATCTGGGTGAGTCTAATAATCACAACAACCCTTTTAAAAAAAAAAAATCAGAGAGGTTTCTCTGGCTATTGGGCTGATGGCAAGAAAAAGTCAGAGATATTTGGGCTTGATTTGTCATTGCTGGCTTTAAAGATGGAGGGGTCGCCCCATGAGGAGAAAGGCAGGTGACCTCCAACCGACAGTCAACAAGGAAATGGGGATCTCAGCCCTACAACTGCCTTGAAATGCATTGTGCTAAGAACCTAAGTAAGGTTGGAAGTGATTCTTCCCCGGACCTTTCACAGAAGCCTAGCCTGGCCAACAACTTAATTTTGATCTTGTGAAACCCTAAGCAGAGAAGCCATCTGGCCCCACCCCCTTATAATTTAGCATGGCCATGGGACACACTTTCATTAATAACGTTGTTGGGGAAGCCATGTGCACCACCTCAGTGTGTGCGCCTTTAGGAGCAGTGCCTGGTTCACCATAACCTCCCCCTCCCCCATGGCTACCAGCAATAGGAAGCAGGTGGACTCTGTCCACATGGGCCCCAGAGTGAAATGACACGCAACCAAACCCTCCACAATCCAATAATAAACCAATAACATGACCTCAAAATAAAACTTTGCTCACTTTGGTCACTAAACTTTGGGTTCTGCTTTTTACTGTACCTGACAGGTGTAGGAGCAGCCAGACCCCAAACACCATTGTCCCCCAAGCCCTAAGGTGCAACCTACCTTGGAACTTCTTCAACATTTCTCTCATCCCAGGGATGCGACACATTGTCTTCAGCTCCATGGGGATGGTCTCTGGCTCCAGCGCTGCGACACTTCTACTTCTGAGAAGAGCACAGAACCCACAGTTCTCAGCATCCACCAACCTCCTGAGCCTCTCCCAACCCTTGCAGGAAATACACATACCGGCTCAAGGCTCCTCTCACCCCCTGGAAGTAAAGGAGACATGCAAGCGGGTGTGAGTTCCATATCAGAATTGCTTTTGACAGAGTGGGGGCAAACCACAAACACCTCTTAGGAATCACTGGAAATCACTATTAAGATAAAGTATAGAAGATATGAATCTCTCTTAATAAAAACCAAAACTAGGCTGTTGTTGAATTTTCTCATGAATTTCAAATAATATAATCAGTTTGCACCCATGAGAATAGAGTACACAAAGTTTAGGTTAATTCCTATGATATCTGCCAATTTAACTATTTTCCAAAGTGATAATTCTGGCATTTGGATATTTTAATAAAGAGTTACATACTGCAATAAATGTATGTGGAATGGGGGGGCGTCACCTGCAACAATGTTAACACTAAAATTTTTTAATAAAAAAAATCTTAAATATCTGCAGAATGTGTTTGAGAAACAGTGAAAGGTATAGACATAAAACGTTACTCTGAATGTCTCTGTAAGAAAATCCCAAATTCCTCATTCCTTGAACCAACACGCAGTATCTATGGACTCACCTGTGAACAGGTTCCCCACGTGGATAAAAACAGAAGTCACTGACATCTAGCACCATTTAATCTCGAAGTAGATTATTAAACAAACCAACTGCATTACATTTCTCCTCTCCCTCTGAAAAGTTCACCTATCGGATGAACTTAATTTTTATAAAGTAGGAAAAGAATTCAGTTTCCTTTTACGGCAGCCCTTGTTCTTGGCCACTGGATGTAAAATGTAGCTTATTGATAC